TGACTTTTCAAATTGTATAAAAATAAAATAAATAAATTTCAAGTGTGTGTGGTAATACATTTCTCAGCAAACTATTTTTTGCACCATCTTTGTCCCCGATAATATCCGCAAACAAAAAACAAAAACCAATAGACGACAACACCAAAATTGTTATGATAACCAAATTTGTCACATAAACTCCACTGTAACTAAAGATTCCCATAAACATTAGCAAAACACACGAAAATAGTAATTTCTTTAATTTTGAAGTATATTTATCTATCAAAACAACAAACACAAAAAACAATGTAACACAGTCGACAAAAACGATGGTATCGTATTTGCACAAGTCGACAAAACGAGTAAAATCAATGCCATACTCATAATCACAACTTGAAATTAATGATATTAAATACAATACAAAATTCATTATAACACATAGTGGTAATAATAACATTAATAAAAAGTAATAATTGTCAAAATTGGTCTCAGTAAACACGAGTTTGTCAATCAACTGAATTGGCACATTTGCACGATTTTCATTGTGCACATATTTGACGTTATTCAGTTCATTAACATTTTCAATAGTATCTCGCTTTCCTTTAAACACAATTTCTTCCACATTACGTGGTAATACAACTTTGGCATTGTTAATTGTGACTTTGCTCGAATACTCAAACACGTTATAATTTCCATTACAATTTAAATTTATTTCTGATGGGCAATACAATTTTTGATATAACTCTTTTGCACTTTCATTGTCATCTTTTTCAAAACAAAAATAATGTTTCCAAATTGAATTGTATAAAAAAAAGCCATATTTTTCTTTAACAACAAAAGTTGCATTTGGACACATTTTTAATGTATCTTCCATTACATTTAGTGTAGTCTTTTTATTATTTTTAATTAAAATGACAATTTTGATTTTTTCGGGTATTTCAAGTTGTTGAATTCGATCAACGCTGTTGATGCCAATCACAGTTACTTTTGTTAATGACACAATCAAAAGTTTCAAATGTGGATATTTATCCCAATTTATTTTAATACGGCGTTGTAAATCATATTCATCAATAAACATGTTAAGAACTTTTGAAGTGTTTGTAAATACATTGTTTGAATGGTAAAACGTTTTTAATTCGGCGTATTTATTTGATAGTGAGTTTTCATCTTCGAATAAATAATAACACTCGTTGTTAAACGACAAATTGGAAAAAACACAATCGGTGTAATTTAGTTGTGTCACCTTTTTGAAAACGACATTATCAGTAAAACGACAATTTTTTGGAATAGTCAACGTTTCAATGTTTGGAAGAAATTGAGTTATTATATATAAAGATCGTGTTGGGTTGTCGGAGTCCGAAACAGTCCATGGGTTCGTTTTCATCATAAAACAACTTTGAACTGTCGATGGAGAGACTTTGGAAAAATTACTTAGGTCGGATATGTTGAGGTAAAGAATAACATTCATCAAATAAACTGGCTCTAATTTTGTCATGTTATTTTATTAAATTTCTGTTTTTTGAGTTTATTATCATTTTTTGAGTTTTTAAAATTTATTGTTAAATAACTAAATGTTTAATTTGTATTATTTTTTTTATAAATAATTTTTAATGTTATTTATTCTAAATGAAATAAAAACAAACAAATTAAAATCATTTTGGAAAACTTGTATCTTCCAATAACCTTATTTATTTACAAAAGTTGTTTATTTTTTGTTATTTGGTTATGTTTTACATTTTTTTGAATTTTTGGGTTTTTAATTTAAACGAATTTAGACAAATTAAAAGAATTATTTTCACATCCAGACATAGTTTGCAACAACAGAGAAAAGTTCTGTTTATTATAAACAGAGGTTGGGCAATTTAAAAAAAACATAAAAAGAGGGGATTTTTGGTAATTGTTAAATATTTAATAATATAAAGAAAAAAACAAAAAATCAGTGAGTACACGACTCAAGCAGTCAAGAATGAGATTATGTTGAGGACAATAGAATTCTAATTGAATATGAGGAACAACTTAATGTATAAAAAGTGGTTGATAAAGCAAAACATGGAAAAAAGATGAAACAATTACGAAGAAGGTAAAATAGAAAAAAATGTAAATTGTTTATTGCTGATGAGATATATATATATATTTATGTTGTATGCTTTTTGAAATGGATTGTTTTTTATTCCCTTTTTGTTTTTTTATTTTTCTTTTATTACAAATCACACATAAAAAAATAAAGAAATTAAACAATTTATATTATTTTAATATTTTATCAAACTATTTCTAAAATTGTTGAAAATATTGTTATTCTTTGAAAAACTGTTTTACTAAGTCGCTTTATTTTTGCTTAAATTGAATAAATATTTTAAAAAGAAGTGTTTTAAGTGTTAATAACATTGAAAATCAAAATATTATCAAGATATTTACAAACAAATGTTTTACAATAAATATATTTTTAATCAATTGAATTTTATTTAATTAATTTAAAAAAACATCGTCATCAAAAA